AAAAGCAATCTTGTCAATAATGCTCCTCTGCCTGGTTCCGGATAGAGAAGGAACTGAAGGGAGGCAGGGGGCCGCGCCTTTGCATAGCTAGTCAGGGAGTTCGCACGCATTGCACACTGTGCATGAGTGGCCACCTCTGAGGCACTGCTAGCAAAACTCCATCCAGAGGCTCTGGGATACTCTACACCTGATGTGGAGCACCCCCAGGGATGCTTATCTCGAAGAACACCAGTTACAGGAGGTGAGTAATCTTCTCTTCCTCTGTTTTCTGCCTAAACCTGTTAAAGTAAGTGGCACTCCTATGCAGGAGTATGGACTGCTCTGATAAGAATCTCTTTATAGTCCATAATATTTGAATGCCTTTCTGGAATCTGGAAATAAGATCTAGAATTAACTGATTAGAAGAAATAGCCTCAGTTTTAATCCCCAGTATATTTTAGCAAACAACACAAATACACTAAGTAGTTACAGCATGTTTTTTGGTCTCTATTCAGGAAATGTCTAGAAATGGAAACATCAGGAGCTCAAATCAGAGTTGTTTTCGCAGAGCTAAAGGGAGCATTTTGTACAGCAGCACTAATATGAACGTCTTGGAACTGAACTACAAAATACAGATTAGTGATCTTATTATCAACTCCATCCCTACACTTCAGGAATGGTTGGAATGAAATATGTGGTATGGGTCCACCTCTAGTTTAACATCTGCACTAAGAAAAGGAATCCTGAATCCTTCAGGAGGAAAAATTCTATATTGAAGTTCACTAAATAAAAAAGTGTACATTTGACAAGTCTACGCTTGTGACATAAAAACTATTTTACTGCAGAGGATTGTTTTTTGCACAAAATAAAGAGGTGAAAATTGTCAGTTTTGTGAAACCTGGTTTTGCTTTGTAAGTGGCTTCCCCTCCCCCTTTCCAACTACTGTCCGTATAAATACCGAGAAGCTTGGCATAAAGAACTCAGCCTGGGGCATACTCCATAAAACTTACAGTGCAATTAAATGAGCAATTTCTATTGGAAATAAAATGGGTACGTTGAGTAGAATATGAATTAAACCAAGCAGGAACGGAGTCAGATAACCCTACATTGTACTCAAGGTTCTCCAAAAGATCCCCAGGGTCAGCAGTACTAAATGCAGCTGACAGGTCAAGGCCAATCAGTAAAGAAAGATACATGCAGTTTGCAATGAAAAGCAGGTCATCCCAAATTTTGATTAATGTAGTCTCAGTGCTGTGGCATCCACTCAAATGGGTTAGCAAAATAAAGACAGATAGCAGTGGGTTAATTCTAACACTTCTTTAACGTACTGCAGCCATTACAAGCTTCTCTATTGCAATCACTGTAACTAGTGTTTCTCAAATTTACGACCCTTTGTTTTACATTGCCATCTGTCCTGAATTTTGTGGATTTGCTTCAGTTACACGGGACTGTGCTGTTGAGCATATTCAGGACCACCAAAGAAACCCAAAATAGTTGTGGGACAGTGCACCACCAGCATGCTCTGTTGTGACATTATGATGTGTTGATATCATGATAGAACATATAGTGAAAAATGGTAACTGTAATGGTCCCACCTAGTACCCTTTGGTTGCCCTTTGTTTCCCATGTCATCTAAGGTATGTCTACACAGCAACATTATTTCAAAATAACTAGTGTAATTTCAAAATAACTTAGTCCCTGTCTACACAGCAGGCAGTTATTTTGAAATAATGTTGCAATACTGTCAGGTTGGAGGACTTCTTACTCCAACTCTGTAACCCTCATTGTAAACCCTTTCTTGTAAAAGAACGTAGACAACAAAGCATTCATGGTCACAATCCTGGACAATGCAGGATTGAACCCTGCTTATAAAATACAGCCCCATTGGCCAAGAATGCATGTGGGGCAACCTTAGACTGAACACTCTGAAAAGGAATATGTTTTTGGCAGTGTTCCTCTTATTACTCTTCAGATTTTTTTTCTGAACAGGAACATTTTTTAATTAGAAGAAAGAAAAAAATGTGGCACTGACTATAAGCTGCTGCAATTTTATTCAGTAACTTCAAGTTCTGCCATATATATTGTTCCAAATCCATCATGTAGTAGAAATGGTAATCTCAGTCTAGACTGACGCCAGTACTCACTCTGTTAGCACAGGAAATTCTGTGCCTATGTGTGTAATCTTTTCAGTGACAGAAGAGCTCAATGCCACTGTTGTTTTTGCTCCTTTGTTTGCTCTGATAGAGAAGCAATACCACTAACAGTGTTGTCTTATATCTAGATTAGGATACCCGTACCAATATGGAGTAGTGTCTTTCTTTGTAATGTCCCTATTGATTTCAAGGGTACTGGGAACAAGGAGAACCTTGCAGTGCTGTATGCAAACTATTTTAAGAATCCTCGCTTCCCAAAAATGTATAAAAAATCATGTAAGAGGTGTACATTCTCAGAGTGGAGCTTACAAATGCCACCTTCTATGTTACTGAATAACACCCTCTCCCAACTACATTGTGTATTTAGGATTTCTTTTTGTCTCAGTAATGTGAGTTTTGCTGTGGGGAGAGATTGGAGACTAGTTTAACAGTTGTGAGAAAAGGTGTATTGACTAGCTATTGCACAGTATCTGTAATGGATGACATTGTTAGTCAAGGTGCAAGACATCTTCCCTCTGGTTCTGCGGAAGACAGCTGAGAAAGCAAGTACAGTGGCATAGCTGCATATTGCACAAATACCCTAATGGAGTTATGGGCATGCTCCAGTGACGCTGTGCTGCCAGAGTTCAAAGGTAAAATATTAGGGGACAGAAGAGCCACTGCAACTGCACAAGTCTTCTGTGCATGCCCCATATTTCAGAATGATTTTTCTGTTGGGTGCATAAGGGAAAATGGGATTATTCTTAGTAATGATTTCCTCACAGTGTTATAACCTTTGTGGGGCTTTTCACATGGGAGGGATCATTCAGGCCCCATATTTACTTTACTTCTGCTCGGTTAGACCCAGGGTACTACTATCTGTATTACACATACATTTTTATTTTGTTTTCTTTTTCACATGAAGAAGCATAAAGCTAATGGACATTTTGTGATCACTGCCAGTGCCATGTATTTGCTTGTACTCTCTTTTAAAGGCAAGCAATATGAGGCTGGCCTTGGCTGACTTTCCTGTGAATACAGTGTGAATTCTTCAGGGGGGATTCTGGAAGTTCAGAACAGAGTGCAGCAGTGGAGATGGTAGCAATTATGAAGGCTATTCTGGTTCCAGAGCAGAAACCTACCCTTCTGGGGCATACACCTCCCGTTACTTATTAGGAAAGGGAAACCGGTGTGAGAGAAATATTGTGAGAGTTTTATTAACAGGTCCAATAAAAAGCTTCCTTGGAAGGGAACCTGATGTGCCCTGTGAGGTTATTTGGGACTGGAAGGTCTAGTAAAGTGGCAATTGATTTGGGTTTATGCCCTCATAACTCAAAATGGTGACTGACCTCTATAATTTCTCATCTGGAGTGGGGGAAATCAGACGCTCTAGTACAGAACCATTTATTTCTGTTTAATAAAAATGAGCTCAGAGTCCATTAACTGTTATACATTTCTTTTTTCAGCAAATGACATAACCATTATCTGAGAATACTACCTTCATACTCATTTTAGTTTATGAGCCCAAATATTTCTCATTTGCTTTGAATAATTGTTTTCTGTTTGAAATTATGTGGCTGGCTGGTTAATTAGTAAAATAAAAAATGGGCTACATCACCACATTTTTAAAGCTCTGGTGCCAGCTAGTGGTGAGAGATGATATACAGATAGTATTTCATACTTGTCATTTATGTAAGTGTACAGTATATTTTTATGTGCATCATGATAATGTGACATTATATTTTATTTGTCAGTTATCACTGCATTGTGACTGGTGAAAAAACAGGCAGCTCCCATTATTTTTCAGTATGATTTAATTAGGGATTGTTTACTTGAAACCTTCTTGCCACTGTTGATGGAGAGATTGCATCATTTATTAGACCATTTACCTGTATTTAATCTCTGGTTTCACTAGCCATTTATTCTGGACATGTAACTACTGTAGCATTTCATTAGAAATACTGCATTTCTTAAAAATGTCATGTATTTTAATATAATGTTTTTTCACAATAATTCAGTATTTTTTTCCCAGAGTGCATCTATTCTATCTCTGCTGTTGATTCACTTATGAATATTAAGAAATAAAGCTATAAAGTGGCTATTAATGTGTAAAACTCTTCAGTGACTATTTTTCTGATGCATCAAGTGAAAATAAAAGTAATTTTATAAGCATATAAGCTAAAATTCAACCAAGCATGTACATCAAGCATTATTTGTACTCAAATCAACATGTAAATGAATAGAGACAATTATAATATGAAGGAAAATTGAAAGTATACTTAGCAATTTTTTGAATAAAGAATCATGGCTATCTTTTCTAGCTTAATTAAGCAATAACTGATATTAGAGAGGTTGTGGAGGGTTCTTAAATGCCAATAAATAAAATTTGAAGCTGAGGCATTTCTTTCATTAAATAGTAGGATCCTTTTTATAACTCTACTACTTACTGCTAAAATCTATTATTATTACTAATGCTCTACAGGTAATTTATAGCTAAAATACACTGAAGGCTGTAAAGGAGAACTTTTCTTTTTAAATGTCACATGTACCCACAAAGATAATTTATTCTGTATAAGGACAACCCAAATGAATATTATTGTAATAATGTTTTGTGAAGATAGATCTAATGTTAGTGACATCTGTGAGCAATAAGCAGAACTGTCACAATCTTACTAGTAGTCAAGTGTTTCCCAATTTTATAACAATCCTGTATGTGAAGCTGAAAAAAGTAGACCACAAATAAGTAAGGATAATAATTAACAAATGCTAAACAAGGTCATGAGATCAACATTTAGTTTCATTGCACATATTTAAAAACAAAAATCACATTTAATGTGTACAATTTTGTTTTAAATCATAAAATGCTATTGTAATTGAATTTTCTTGCAGAATCCTTATTTTCACTTAGCAGAATCCTGGGGTTCTATGGGACACCATTTGAGAAACACTGAGTCTAATGTGAGTGACTGCACTAGTTGAAATACATTGATATTTCTAATACCATTGAATAATAAAACATTGATTTTTGTTGAGGATTTACATTAACTAGTATAAAAAGATAGTTGAGATTAACATTATATATGGAAGAAAAATATTTATTACTAAAAACAAATTAGGTATTATTAATTGAGAAGGCATTTCAAACACCCAATGTTATTTTCACTGTGTGTACTGTTTGTTCACTTTTTGTATTTAATTCTACTTGAACTAGACTGAAAAGAAAGGTCTTCTGATTCCTCAGCCATTCCATGCATAGCACTCATTGTGAAGTCAATGGGAATTTAGGGTATAGAAAGCCTTCTGGCAAAAAAGCTGATTTATTATTTACAAAGAAGAATTGCTACATTTGAGTTCCTGATGGCTAAATATCCCATCCTTTATTCCGAATGTTGTCACTAGAGCCTCCACAGATCTCTCCATTAGAAGATGTTGTGACTCAGTATGGGAGTTTGCCACATCTGTTAGGAAACTGCTACAGATGGTTCAACTCATTAGCTGACAGAACTCCTAGTGAACATCACCGAAGAGTACTGGGACCTCACTTGGACTAAATGTTAAGCTTGCCTCCTGTTCATTGTCATTACATTTTCTCAAAATAAGGTCCTTAGCCAATTCTATGGGACCCAGGATACACTTTTAAATGCAGCCAGACTGTTTTATACAATTGGCAAATGTGACAAAGTTAAACAGCACCAGTTGTCATTGTATAAGTCTCTGTCTAAGGACTGTGCCTCGAACAGAGCTTGTAGTATCTTTTAAAATCTTTATTGCATCTGCTTTCATTGCATTTCTCAAATGATGATATAATGAACTTTAATTTTAATTTTTAAAGATTTTTCTATTTTGTAATATCTTATCTTGAAAATAAACATTTTTCTTTACCATTTTTGTGTTTCTCCCTTTGGCATACACTGATGGAGTGTTCCCCCTGCTCCTCACCTCCACCCAATCTCATGTTTTTCAAGAAGTTGCTCCATGTTTGTATGTCAGGATCATCCATATCAGAATGATTTAGCAACAGTTTGTTACTGCTGCAGCAGAGCCAGCAGGAGTAGCTCACATTTTGCTCTTTTATGGTTTTCATAGGTTTAGGGCCAAATTTTCAGTCTCTGATTTTATATACATGTTGAGTGTACAATTAATGAATTGGAAGGTACAGACTGCTCTTATTCAATTTGTATGGACAAATGCAGTAATTGTAGAAATGGATTCGTGAGCAATTTTGTGCTTGCAAAATGAGCTTTGATCTTGCAAAGCCTTAAAAAGGGGGCTTAATTTTAGGCACTGTGAGTAGTCTTATTGACTTCCACAGGACCCTGGAGAAAAAAGGACTTGCTCAGTAGAGGTGTTTCAATATACCATGTCATACATGTTTTTAAAAAATATGCATTTTAATTACAGGTTAGAATGGCTTCATGCTTTGCAAGGTCAAAACCTTACTAAATCATTACACACATTACACAGGTATCATGTGTCAGGTGAAATGGTTATGAAAAGACTGTTTGCTCTATCAGGTAAATATTGGATACTTGGAGATGTGTATATCTATATATCTATATTAAATATACTATGTGAAAGACCCTATACGATTGCATATTTAACCGTAGATCAACCTTTTTTGGTTTGAGGACCCCTGACCCACAGAAAAATCAGTTGGGGGCCACACACAAGTGAGAAGCAAAAAAACCAAACCAAACCAAACCAAACCAAACCAAACCAAAAAACCCAAAACAACCCCCCCCCCAAAAAACCACACAAACAAACAAACACACACACACAACTGTTCACTGACATGGCCTGTGACTGAGAAGAGAAAGACATTCTTCACATTCCCCTCCCACACCAGAGCCTAGGGGACCCAGGATAGGAGATATTGTGTGCTCCAGCCCTGTGGGGAGTAGCAGGAGGCTGGAGCACCATTGTGGGCTCCTCAATGCTGGGTGGGAGCCCTGAGCCTCGCGGGTCAGATCCAGACTAGCCAGGGGCCTCACCCGAGCCCTGGACCTTAGGTTCCCAACCCCTGCCATAGATAGTCACAAAGCAAAATTACTCCGATATCATTCTTATCTCTTAGGTAAATAATCCAAATATTATGCTTGATCCTGAAGTCATTAGGAGTTTTGCCTATATCAGGAATGGACCTTGAAAGATTTTGTGTGCGTGTTTTAACAATGCAGTGAATTAAGTATTATCCTAAAGTTTGGATATTTTGTTGTTTGTCACAATTTAAACTTTATTTAAATGTTTCTTTTTTATCTGTAACAGTATGACACTATGTGCTTGGGTAAGCCAGGCTGGGTTGATTATCACTAAAGTGTTATTTATTCCTATTTTATTAAGCCCCTTTTTACATTCATGTTACTGGTTAATTTATACTTTTATTTCATGCACTAGTTGGCTTTACTGATTAATATGCCCCACGGCATTCAATAAAGCCAGGCAGTGGAGGAAATAAGAATGGTATTAATTTCTAACATTGCTATAAATTTGCCTTAATAAAAGTAGCTCAATAACACAGCAGTAGTAATACAATGGATGCCTCCAAATTGTTAGCAAAGACACAATTGAAAGAGTAACACATTTTTTCCCAAATATAACATCGCTCTGGTACCTTTGTACTGTTGCTAACATTAGATTTTATCTGTTATAATGTTAACTCCTCCGTTTACATGGTCCTCTAAAAAGTGGTGAATATTAAACAAGTCACACATGATTATTTTAACTCACTTCATTGGTTCTACAGGTGCATACATTCTTTTTGGATCTTTCAAAAGCGGATAAGTATTCAGGACTTCCACTTACCCAGTCCTGCAAGTTCACATACACAGATGACATTTGCTTTGGCAACTGAGCATGGTCACTCCCAGAATGGAAGACACCCTAAAGAGTGACTTGATTAAGATTGACGAATATTGTAGCTAGTGGGCATTTACAGCCATGTGAGACCAAATAGTTTCAAGTATGTTTCATATTTACACCACCAGAGTAGCCTGCGTACTGAATATCTTTCTCAATGGATATTGCTTGAAACACAAATCCCACCCAGTCTACTTCAGAGTAACCCTAAAGAGATTTCTCACATATTTTAACCACTTGAGGAAAACTGACTAAGGTGGTTAAGATACCTTCGTTGCATATCAACCTTCTAAGCAAACTGGTCAGCATGGCATGGGGGGCAAATGCTCAAACACACTGATCAACCAGATTAGCTCTCTTTTGTTTTGCAGCAGAGTATTATGCTCCAGTCTGGCTCCAATCATCTCAGGTCAAGTTGATGGACATGCAACTATATTGAACCATTCAAATTGTAACCTAAACGATTAGACTCATTCCAGTGTCATGGCTCCTGGTGTTAACCAACATAATTCCTCCACACAATAATGAAGATGCTTCAGCTACAATGGTTGAGAAGATCAGGCAAGGTGGAGCCTAGTATCCAAGAATACACCTGTTGCCAAAGCAGCCGTTATGGGCCCACTTGCCCTTCCCATGATTCTCTGTGGCATTAATATGGTATGAATAATGGTCTGGTGATGTCAGAAACCAGTCTCTTATAATTGACCTAACCATATGTATACTTAACTTTGATTTGCCATGCCAGGCCCTTCTGAACAAATTTCAAATGGCTAGGGTCTATGTCCAGCCACCCTTGGCACCTGGCATCAATAAAGAGGATTCCACTTGCGGCTGCAGCCAAAGAGTGATGATCTCACCCATCACTGATGACTGTCCTCTGACCAGATTAATGGTGGTCTAAGGGCTCTTCACTGATTGGCAAATTCATTTGGCAAGCTCTGCATCCAATAAGAAAGTATATGATTGCTATTACCTCATTGGGCACCATAATTAGCTAATAAAATATCAGAAAGAATAAAAGATTCTGGAGGGAGAGGCAAACAGGAGAAAAGTAGATTAATTGATTTTCTTTTGAGTAGTAAAATAGTTTGTTTGGTTTACATTTTGCAATTGATTTACATATTCATGCAGGAGAGGGGGATTCTTGAGAAGGTAAAATAACTGAAGACTCCTGAGTAGTGGAACATACTGGTTTGGTCTAGTAGCTGACAATTATTATGTAATATTTTTATAATCTTATTATGATAAAATCATCACCTTGATGACCGTCAGGCATGGGTCAAGGATATTTCTTTATGGATCTAAGTGCAGGGCAAGGGCTTTATACATATCTGCATAAAGCAACTACTTTTTCTAAACAGGTTCAGAAATTACAAAATAAATAATATTGCCTTAGCTATTTAACATATAATTTGTATGTCCAGAAATAAGCAAACTTGATGATAAATATTTATACAGCATCGATATACTTTAATTGTATCAACTTAATTTAGGTGATATAATCTAGTCCATCTCCATGCCACTTTACAGGCGTGTCCTCTATACTACATTATGTAATACTTTGTCATGCCTGCTCTTTTCTTGAATGCTTCCAATTTTTCAGCTATATTTTCAACTGGCATAAAGTTTCCAATCTAAAATTAAATATTTTTTTGTTTTGATTCAAAATATTAACCAGTAATTTGAATGAGAAGATTCAGTGTTACACGAGATATATTCCTTTATGCTTCAGGGTGCATGCGAACCACTTGCTGCCTGAGCTTGTGAAAAAACTTCACTGTTGATGGCTTATTCTAGAATAATATTTTATGGTTTGTCTTGCACCTCCTTGTGAAGCAGTTTGTATGTACCACTACAGGAAATAGGATGTTTGATTAGCTTGACCATTGACCTGATCCAGTTTACTCTGATTATTTTGTTTTTGAAAAGTGCTTAGTACCCACATCACTTATTAATATGATGACTGATGCGAACTATTAGCTCTTCTCAGCTATCATGGACATCAGCAAGAATTTTAGTGCTTAGCAACCATCAGGATCAGGCCCATAGTTTCTATTTGGGATGTGTGTATATATATAAAATAATTTATCATTTACAGAACACTTTAGATTCTATGCATGAATGCAAGCAACAGAAATATTAATAATGGAAAAAGAGAATTCACAGTTATAATTCTCACATCACTTACCATCCCAATGCAACAATGTTGTACATATCATTTTTTGTGTGTTAAAGAACACCCATGCAGAGTAAGCAGCAGTGTTTACAAGATAGATAGGGGATTGGGTATGGGGAACAGCGTTTGAGCAGTTAAGCATAACATTGACAAATAAATATGGAAAGAGCTCCTTTAGTTTATAGCATCTAGGAAGAAAAGCTAGATAGGAATGCATAAAACAACAAAGGTTAAGGCAACATCTTTTTGTTTTCAGGATTGAAAATAGTCCCCCACCCCCCAGCAAGCTATTTTAAAAGGACATACATAAAGAAAAGCAATTAAAGGATGGTAGGAGGAGGAAGGCTAAACTACCCTCACCCTAGTATTCCACTTATCATCCTATGTTGAAACAAGAACGTTAATGCTGTTTCAACTTTTCTCTTACTTGGTCTTAACAGTAAAGACTGTTAATTTTTCTTCATACATCTATATAAGGCAACTGTGGTTATTTAGAAGGTACAGTAGTTCTTTCTTTCCTTCCTTCTTCCCTCCCTCCCTTTTCAAAAATTTCCTCCTTGTCCTATATATTTATATGAAGTTGTCTTTATTTAAAGCTTGGCAATAAATATAATTTATTTCCATATCTTTTTCTTTATGGCTCAGTCCTGAAAGTGGAATTGTGGTCAAAACATTGTTGCTAAGTTTTATATTTTGAGTCTTGCATTTAAGTAACATTTCTTTCAGAAGGAATAGATCATTTTACAGATGACATTTTTTGGGAACCAAAACTTAAAATGTAAAAACAATGTAGCCAAAACCTTGTCCATAACTGCTAAAAGAACACATATTGAGAACAATAAAGTCAAACAGTTATAAATGGGATCATTAAAATATTTTCTGGACATCAAAAAATGATTGATGCAGTTGAAAGGCTGCATATTACATGAGCTAGGATTCTGTACTGATACTGAATGTCTGAATCAATCTTTATTGGGTTTTTCTGTAAAAGAGCAAATTATAAGTGAAAACTTCTGTTAGTATGAATAATGAAAAATGTCTTGAATGTCAATAAATCACAGAGCTATATGTTAAAAAACACTTGATGCTTACCATTGTCGTATTCTGCTTAGTGTCAGACTTTATAATAATACATCCTGATGATG